GAGCCAATGCTATGCATAGGTATGACATGGATTCGAAAGGTTCATGGTGTTCTTGACCCTAGTAAAAACCAATTTCGGATGAAGTTACATGGGAAGACTTACATTATCCCAACATTCAGCAGGGCTCCAGTAGCCAAGGATCCGCCAAAAGATATAGAGACCTTAGAAGTATTGGATTCCGATTCATCAAGTGAAGAGGTAAAAAAAAATGCATAAATTGTGAAAGTATGACTATCCGTGTAAAGGAACTTGAAAAAGCACTATTTACTAGTGTCCAAACTAATTCAGAATTTATTGGATATTATAATAATTTGCGTGATCAATATAAAACAAAAATTAGTCATATTAATTCTAAGCTTTTGAAATAGGAGCAAATAGTTTAGAAATATCAGCACGTACAACAGCTCTTATCTTTTTAGCCTCCTCTTGTGTTCTCTTATAGAATTCTAAAGGATCTTCAGTTTTTTGTGAGGCTTCAGGTGGTATAGTTTCTTTTTTTGCTTCTGATATTTTGTCTATCTTTTCAGTCGAATCTTTACTAACAGAGTATTGATCAGAAATACGCGCAGACTTGAACTTGGATTTTCTCTTTTTTGTCTCTTCCACAACTATAGGTATTGAAATATCACTTTCCGAATCAGTTAAATATGGATTCAAAACATTTGTGCAAACCTCTTTTCCTTTCCATATCCGATAAAAACGGGTATTGGACATAGGATATTTATCTCTAAGCATCTCTAAAGGTTTGGATTTTGCATCTTTGTATTGCATAATATATTTATAGTCATCTGGTGATAGTTTGACTGCATCAGATCGCATGGTCTTGTTAATAGTATCAGTAATATTGATAAAAAAAAATACTAATGATATTATTGATAATATCGGTAATATTGATAATATCCATAATGCTATTATTGATAATACCAGTAATATTGATAATATTGATAATATCCGTAATATCTATAATATGTTATTATTGATAATATCCGTAATATCTATAATATGTTATTATTGATAATATCCGTAATATGTTATTTTTATTAAATATAGCTAAGCTGAAAAATACATGGCTAATATATGTACATTGCGAGATATTAACTCAAAAGGACATCGTCTTGGAAGTATTAGGGAGGTGGAACTTGAAGAAGCTTTACGTGATAGTTGTAAGTCCAATTCTGAACTTATTGATGATTTTAAAAACTATCAGAAGGTGTATAAAAAGTATATTAAAAATATCAAACAGGATAAGGTGCATATGCAACAGGATCTTAATCGATCCAATAAAGATAAAGAGAAACTCACTAAGCATACCTATCAGCTTATAGATGAAGTAAAACGATTGCGTTCAGAGTTAGATACTCTAACATCCCAGATTACTCGCAAAGATATTTCTCTTAATGAATCTAAAATTAAGATAAAAAATTTCCAGTCTAAGATAAAAATATTGGAAATGAAACTATCTTCAACTCAGAATAAATCAAAGGAAATTTCAACACTTCGATCTATGAAAAAAATATTAGAAGGTAAGTTAGAATCAGCTCAAAAGGATGCATTTTCAACTCAGAAAGAGATAATAAAAAAAGAATCCGAGATTATATCTCTCAAGTCTGAATTAACGAATATAAAGAATGAACTAACGAATACAAAGGATGAATTAGCTTCAAAAATTAATGAAATTGAGTGTTTAGGCACTTTATACCCTGCTTCACAGAAAACAAAAGATATATTGGATCCTGTAGTTATGGGAGGTGCGGAAAAAAATACGCAGAGTGAGGAACAAAGTTTCAAATCGAATTCTGAAGCTGAATCTAAAAGTCTTGTAAAATATTTTAAAAGTAAAAAGAAAATGGAAGCAGAAATAAATGATACTTCCCTAACTAACCAAGAGTCTTTAACAAATGATATATCGAATATAAAAAATGAGCTAGTAATAAAAGAAAATGAAACATTTCCAATTATCATAAATAAGCAGAATCCGGAGTCATTAATTCAAGATATTACAATAGAAGGGGCAGTATGCGCTGGCGAGGCTTTAGTTAATGATAAGTATCAGATTCCTCCTATTATTAAAATTATCATTATTGCAATAATAGTGATATTAATTATTTGGTATATATACACGAATATTTTTCATCCAACCAAAAAGAAAGAAATTTTTTATCCCGTCTATAGAAATCATAGTTATGGATTCCCAATTTGTTATACAAAAGAACCGAAAAAAAAAATTACCACCTATGAAACTTTACCTTATGGACATGGATGAGGCCAACAAAATGTTTATTTCAAATTCCTGTTAGTCCTTTAAAGGTTTGTCCCATCTAAATCGAATTGATAAGGGATCATCAGATGGTCTTCGGATATCAATAATTACGAAGTGTTTTTTTATTACTTCATAGACTTTTTTTGCTAGAGGCTCATAATCATCATACATATCTTTAAGAATTCGCTTTATACTATCTAATGTTCCACATCCACGGTGCAATGAAATATATTTAAGATTTGCACGTATGTTTGGATGGATTTCATAAAAACGCTGAGCGATATAAATTGCACTAATTCCTTCATGTCTACCTGACCTAAAGAAAGGAATGATTTTTAGTTGAGTTGCCAAAGGTTCTCCGGCAAGATCATCAAAAACTATAACAGTAAATCGGCCAGTTCTTTTAAAAGATGAAATATCAGGTAGTTCTTCAGGTGCAATCAGCTTAAATCTCACATTTTCATACCATGGAGCTTGTTTATCCATGGCTATAAATTCATAAAAACATTGTACCGTTTCCCATAACTCTTCATCTTGGTGTTGCGCAACAACAATTAGATCATCACATGGAATATACCTTTCACCAAAATTTTTACTTCTGCTTTTTGGTATTTTATGACCACGTTTTTCACCAGACATCCATGGATATATTTTTGGATATTTACTTCCTAGGAGCAAACGTACTACCATTTTCGTCTTTCCGGACTCAGAGGTGCCTGCGACCCCTAATCTAAATGGGTGCCTAGGTGCAAATGGATTCTGTTTTTTTGAAGGTATAGTTTCGTCTAATTTGCGTAGTTCATAATACTCCATAGTATATTGAAAAGTAGAATAATTATTTAAGAAATATATTTTGTTATTCGCAATGCCTAAAAAATTTTCTTTGAATGATGCAATAAGGATAGCAGAATCTCATGGAGGAAAATGCCTTTCCAAAGAATATAAGTCCAATATGTAACGCAAAAATATCATCATGTTCCAGTAATTATTCGTGAGAATTTATCCCATCTAGTGATATTTAACGGGCAGTTCTTATCAAGACGTATCTAAAATAATTGGACGATATACTGATGATGTTAAGAATGCATCAATGGTTATTAATAGCTACCTTCGAAAAAATGAATTTATTGTATTTGATCTTACTAGGTCGGAAGATGATGCTCTAGCAATTCGTTTAAGATTTGATACTCCACTAGATTTGCAGAAAGAGATAGAGTTAAGGCAAAAACGCAAGATAAAAAATGCAATACCTGCTGAGTCCACGAATTCTGACCCCAAAAAAGCTGAAAAATCAGCCATGTAAGTGTCCTGCTTCACAGAAATTGTCTGGCTTCAAGTGATAAAGTCATAAGAAGATGGGATATATTATCCAATTGTGATCTCAAGAATAGCATTAGGAAAACGGTGGACAATTACCTATCTATGTCCTCAAAGGTATTAGTAGAACTGGCATAGCCAAAAAAATAATATGTAGATAGTATGAGTATTTTATATCACGAAACAATTAATAAATCGAATAAATAACTGTGTACTATGCTTCTATTTCTAAAAGTCGCTTTCGGAATCTAACCTGCAATTGACTCTTTTTAGAACTTATTCAATTAACCGGAATATAATATTCTTCATATTGTCTAATAATAATGGAACTGCGCATCATATAATCGTTTTTATATATTTCAATCCATTTAGTACGCCACTGATTAAATTGTTCTCGGGTTTGAGGATTTTTCACTTCATGGCTCGTTAAACCTAGAAACTTCTTATCATTAGAAGTACCATCATCTCTCATTGCATTCCAAGCTTGGGTTGCTAATGATT